TGTCCTCCTTCTGCCCTCTCATCTTTAGGATCTGGCCTTTTATCAGTGCATTCCTTTTCATTTGCATTGCAGTGTGGGGAGGGACAGCGGGTCTCTCTGATCTGATAGAGCCAGGAGAGAGAGTCAGGAGGATCCTCAGGGCATGAAGGGTGTGTGTGTGTGTGTGTGTGTGTGTGTGTGTGTGTGTGTGTGTGTGTGTGTGTGTGTGTGTGTGTGTGTGTGTGTGTGTGTGTGTGTGTGTGTGTGTGTGTGTGTGTGTGTGTGTGTGTGTATCCTGTCCTGAAAACACACACACACACACACACACACACACACACACAACATTGCATTCTCAAGATAGTCTTTCTCAGTCCAGGGGGACAAATAGTAAAGCACCCATGCCTGTCTTTCAGGCTCTGTTTGTCTTTATCTGTATTTCAGAAAAAGGAAGTGCTGTTTGAGGCTTGAATTAAGGAATTTGTGCCCACAATTATGTAAATTGGTCAAATACATTTCGAGGAAGACTCAAGTAGAGTGAATTGGTTATATTCATTGTACCTGAGGGGGAATTTGTCGGGGGCACCATGCTACAGTCATTTGTTTCACATAAAGAAATACGTGAAATCTTAAAACACGAGAGGCCTTTGACCATACATTTGATGGTTGACATTGGCACCTGTAGAATTAAAGTGCTAAGTGCTTAAATGCTTGTGAATTCAGAGCAAGAGATATCATAAAGGTTCAGCAGCGTTTGGGAGACTGACACAAACGATAGTTTGAAGTGGTTGGAGTGGCACTTTGGCACACATCATCTTTTTCCCTCCTTACACAGGTTTAGAATTCAAAGAAGAGTGGATGTTGAAAGTCTGCAATGATTTTTGTTGCTTGACTTAGTTACAACCATTAGTTTTACCTCAGCATAAATCATTCTGTAAGAATACATGTCTCTTTTCTCCAACAGCTAATATCTCACGTCTCAATTGTTGCCCTAATTTAAACAGCCTATTCAAACCCTTGATAGTAATAGAAGGTGGCCTGGTTCTTAAGGGTCTGTTGTAAATGTTTGTCTTGCTCGAGGAGATAAAAAGAGGTAGTTTACTTTTCGGATTTCCTCAGAATCATTGTATTCCCAACCCACCCATTGCTCAAACATATGTCAGTGTAGGGGGGCTTTTGGTGGCAGCGAAGTAGAAAAGTGATGATAGATTGAGGACACAAAAGACAGAAGAGCAAATGTGTTGCGCTAAATCTACAACCTTCAGTCAGCCTTCATATTGACTGACTCGGAGGGGTTACCTCAACTCAAATCAATGTTAGCCCTGAGAGCATTGAATAAAAAATCATTCAAATTGTATTAGGTTAGGATATATGAGCCATTTCCAAATATTAATTCAGCATTATTTGAGGTGTCTGTTAAGGGGAGCAGTTACAGCTCGCAGTGCGTCGACTCGACTGAGTGATTACAAACCTCTATTACATGTGATATATGAATGTATGAGAGGGACCTATTTTTCATTACCAAGACATTGTCCCTAGAGGCAGTTGTTAAAGAAGAATCTATGAATTACCCCCCCTGGAACAACTGGCCCTTGTCGTGAGTCGAGGAGAGAGGAAAGGGAAGGAGAAAAGGGAAGCGCACTATTGATGGCGCTGGGATTGAGAGACTGGAAGGACGCCAGGAGATGCTTGTGATCCTGCACACCGCCGCCGCTCCCTCTGTCCAGTTAATTGGAATACAAAGCAGAGCAGGGTCGATGAGAGAGTGGTGAGGACGAGGAGGGGAGAGAAGGGAGGGACGGGAGCTGCTGTCTGTCTCCAGCAACGCTCAACCTTCACTGCTCGCTGGGAATTGACTGGGGAACCAGCAAGCGAGACCGACACACTGTCACTGGTAAAATGAACTGTCACCTTGCATTTCTCAGCCTCCTGGCAGCATCGAATTGGCCGCTTTGAACCATGTGACGTGACACTGATTGAGTTCTGGTTTCCCCCCCTCCTGGGCTCTAAGTCGAAGAAGCAGTTTAATTTCAAGTGTACAGCCTCGCCATGCAAAGAATCCATGCACTCCCCGGTTTGGTTCTAAACACCAAAACCTTTCATGGGCCGCTCCATTCTTCCTCACCACCCCTCATTATTTCATTGTGCTGCTTCGTTACGCTGCCTCTCAGCTAGTCTTGTTTTTCTTACGGCATATAGTCATGGCGGTCTGACAGGCACACAGAGGAGGAAAACTATTAGGGGTAGCCATTTGGATCCTGGAGGCAATCCCAGGGAGTATTAAGACGTTAACCCTAGCCAAGTCACTTGTCTCTCTCAGTTACTATGCTGATGGAGTGGGGAAAGGATGCAGTCGCAGGGGGGACCCAGGAGGCCGGGGCTTCAGGACGGCTGGCGCTTCCAGATCCAATAGAGCCTGACTCAGATGGGGGATGGTTGTCAAGAATCTCCCAGTCTGGGCTAAAAAGAGCCTCAGTGCCATAACAAAGGAAGAAGAGAGTGTGCCATTCATAACCGGGCAGCATTTCTCTACAAGGCTTCATCAGAAGAACTGTGGAAATTAAATGATATTGGTCGAAAGCGACAGTAAAAATCACATACTGTGGTTTATACATGGTTTCTTTAGTTTCTTCTAATTCACAACACTGTCCAATTCTGATAAAAGTGCTAAAACATATATTCTCGTTAATAATAAACGCATAGGGAATCTGAATGCATTTTTTGCATGTTTAAAATGTTCAACCTACATTTTTTTTTTTTATGACTTTTTTTTTAATCCGTTTTTACTTCTTACTAATGCTCCTACAATAAGTCGATCAGAAGTTAATCAGACCATTCATTTGCGGCTATTCTGATGAATCATTTATGCAAATTCAAGCACAACTGACAAAATGTAACGATTCCAGCTTCTAAAATAGGAAAGTTTGCTGCTGTTAATTGTTTTACATTATAGTAAATTGAATACATTTGGATTTTTGACCAAAAATGAATTGTGATTGGCTATTTTCTCTTTTTTCTGGTGATTTACAAAAAAAACAAATTCCCAAGAAAATAATAAATCAGCAAATTATTGATATCATAGACAATTGTTAGTTAGTTAGTTAGTTGCCTTCCAGCATGATAGAAATATGACTGTATGTTTTATTCCTAAAAAATGTTTTAGAAATAAATCAGAGTATGGTCGATATTGCTCTGTATCTTCCACTTCAATTGATGCTTATCTCTGCGTCTTGTCAGCATATTAGAGTATGTAGTAGATAATGTAGTTTGATAACATAAATGACTCTTCTGCTGTATCTCTTAGATCACCAACCCCCCGGTATCCCATGAATACTGTTTCTAGTTTCCCTTTGAAGCCCTGGGACCCTGCAGAGTGACATGCGACAGAGGAACTGGTCGAAAACCAAGGAAGTGAGCATGGCAATAGACTTGTAAAAGAGCCAGCAACAACTGCCAGCAGCATGGGGTACAAACAGCACTGGGTTGACCTCAAACAAAGTGCAGAGGGAGGCGGGCCGGCTAAACATGTGTACGATATTTGAGGAGAACACGCCGGATGCTGTCTATTAATAGACCTTGTGTTTGTGCACTCTGCAGTTCGTTTTTCTATTATTTTTCAGACCATAAATGATCTTCTGTCATGTCCCTCAGTGTTCATTAACCACTTTCTCCTCCTTGCCCTACATTCCCCTGCAGAAGGCGAAAAGAGCTTTCCTGATCCGAAGGTGAAAAACATCCTCCTCCTCCTCCTCTTCCCCCGGACTGGAACATCTGTCTCCGTGGTGTTGGCTGCAGTGCCGACTCTGACACCTCCAGATGGAGGACCCGCTGGGAGCGCTGAGGTATTACCTGCAGAGATGGCAGGGATCACACCTCTGGAATGAAGTCCCACACTTGTTTTCAGCACCGTCCCCCTCTTCTTGTTGTTGAATATGTCGCTATTCACCATATCGATTGTCACCTTGGCCTTGCGACTCTTCTGGAAGCTTTTGGCTGTTAAAGAAATGCGTGACAACAAAACCTCTCAGCCCCTTTTCTAATTTACAGTAATGGGCCGTATGGTATTTCAACTGTAGCGTCTATAAGTGGAGCTGCATTCATTTTTAATATAGTTGCTCGAGAACTGCATGCGGATATATTTCAAATGATTGCTGTTTTGTGTTTCCTACAAACACGGGTTTTTTTTCAGAGGCCCTGAACATATTGCAGTTTGAATAAATCAGAACTTTGACTAAATGGGGTTTAATCTCTGTAGTGTCAATATCTAACGCAATACCTGCATAAAATCTTAAGTATGAGAGGCCCTCGAGTTGACTTCTCCGAGCCACTCTGGTGTCTTGACAGATTGACTCTGCATTCATTTGTGCCTGAACTCTACGTGAACCTCAGCTTTAGGAAAAAGGGCACCAACAGGCCGGTGCTGCCGGAGCAGAAACTCTGTGTGCGCAAACCTAACACCCAGTGCAAATATTGGAACTGCTGCCCCTTCACCATCAACTGAAACTAGGTGGTCAGCCTCAGCAAACGTTTATCTTGAGCTGAAGTCACAATGAGCACTTAAATGTCAAACAGTCAACTTTTTCCTCTGATTTAAGTGAAAATCTGGGTTGTTTGATTTTTAAAAGTATTAAAAATAAAAGTGGATGTCATTGCGACTTGTGCTAACTATCTTCAACAGAATTTGGGTAACAAATCAAGGGTGAGACCTGGCTCCCTGGAGTTTGTTGTCATGTTTAGAGCCCCTGGAGGTATTTGGAGGTGAAAAGGTCACTGGGAACCACCCCATGTGCTGTGAAAGATTCCTCTTGTCACATTATGCAAGGGGACTTTGGTGAGACTATTAATGGAAGTGAATATAGAAGAGAATTCGCAAGAACATTCATATTTAGAACAATTTATTATATACATGTATTTTTTTTTTTAAAACAAGGCAAATATTTAAAAGGGAGCACATAATGTAAACAAAATTAAAGTTTGAATCCAATAACCAGCATTTCTTTTTACATAAAAAGCTAATTAAACGCTTTTTTTTTCATTTCATAAACTTTATTAAGCTAAAACAGTTGTTGGAAAAATACCCTGTAAATAAATAGTGCAAACAATGACACTGAGTAGTTCAGTGCTTCAACACAAAACAGCATGGGCTTATGATAAGAAGGCTACAAGTACAAAAGCGGATGAACAAATATTTTTAAATGTTTCTCAGAATCCAATTCAGCATTAATCATTGCACTAGACACATACCCTGTAACCTCACAAAGTCCACATGCCCTTTTCACAGTTTTTCTGGAATGGTGCGACTGAGGGAGAGAAGTGGAAAACTCCTCAGGCCTTTACAGTCATATAGTTTTTTTTAAAGTCACATCATGGTTTACTGTCTTTCCCTTTCCCCTTTGGAGAGGTTTCACTGCCCGAAAGTGTCTCTACAGGTGCTGCTCTGCTGACCAAAACGCAGCCCAGCTTCTCGCGTTTTTTCTGCTTCATCCTGCGGTTCTGAAACCAGATTTTCACCTGCGTCTCGGTGAGCTCCAGACTGGCGGCGACCTCCACCCTCCGTGGCCGAGTCAGGTATTTGTTGAAGTGGAACTCTTTCTCCAGCTCGGTCAGCTGCTTGGTGGTGAAGTTGGTGCGGATCACGTTGAGCTGGCCGGGAACCCCGAACTCCGACATGACAGCTGTGGAGAGAGATGGATGGATGAATGGATGATGGAGTGGAAAAACATGGAAATCATGACGCTGAGGCAGATGTGAATGATACATGAGGATGAATAGAAAGATGAACGAAACATTAGTTGCCAAATACCTTTATTAAGGTATTTATCAGTTAAATTGCGTTTTTACGCACTGTGAGTAGCCTACATTTTAGCTGAAAAAACCATTGGGTCTCTAACTTCTAGCTCTAATTTTTCAAGTTGAACATACCTGTTTTAGGTGGATTCCTCTTCACTTTCATCCAGTCGAATGTTTTAGAAGCCTCCTCTACATGCTCCAAATCCTTCTCCCTGCTTTGGCTCGGGTAACCTTGTGTAAACACTCTCTGGATACTCTGGCTGCCTCTGATCCCCGTTTCCAAAATGTAGATACTGGCCGCCTGTTACAACCCCAGGCCCACAACTGTCCCCGGTGTAAGGAGCCATGTTTGTTCCGAGGGGGGAAACCTGCGAGTGGATGAAGCTCCGGTCCTGCTCGGGCGCCAGGCCGTACTGGTGATGTCCGTACTCCAGAGGTGACCCATACATAGTGTTCCCCGACGGGGTTGCAAACTGCAGATCCAGGTTGACGTGTGCTGCCTGGTGGTGCAGAGGGAGGCTCGGGGGCTGGTGTGGCGCAGAAGGAGCAGGAACTAACCGGCCGTCCGGTGCGTAACTATCACTTGTTGCACACGAGTTGGACGACATGTATCCATGGTTTAAATTGTGGTATCCGGCCTTGGCACTGAAAATATTCGCCCCCCTGTTACACACGGGGTAGTCTAAGTAGGAGTTCATCCTGGACTCTGCTTTGGCCTTTTGTTTGTTCACAACCGATCAAGACTGAGCAGTCATTAATCGCTGCTCCCTTTGCCCTAACCTTCTAGGTAGTATGTCAAAGCTGTAAAAGTGCCTTCCACCCTCATATCACCTTCCTGACACACCATGTGACCCGCGAAACGCCAATGGCGAAGGACCTACATCACTCTGTCAAGTCTGCAGGCTCGTCCATCAAACGGCTTGCATTTACATGACAAATGCTTCAATCAAACTCGCTCATCCATCTGATAAGAACACAAACATCAGGACACATTTTCAGACTAAGTATTACAGAAGCTCCAAATGACAGTTATTATAATATGGATAAGTCTTCCAATGGCCTCCAAAGACAACAAAATAGAGCATTGTGCATTATAATTAACTTGAAAATGCAAAAAATGTAAATAGACTGTTGATTTAACCAAAACTAAATGCCACTAAAGCCGTACACAAGTAATAATACGAAATTTAAATTCTAAGTGTGAATTTTTCAAATAAATATCTTTAACATTTGTATTTTATGGCTAATATGCTGTTTCAACACATTTTGGATTCTGTTGGGTACAAATTAAGCTTATTTTCTTTTAATTTTGGAAAGGACATTTCGACCTTAAAAACTCGCTGGGATTTTTTTCTAAACATGGTCAAAAGGCGTTTTGGCACCATACATTTCTCCGGCCTCTCGTCAACAGGAATCCTGCAGACAGGCTCTGACTCAAAGGCAGTGCAGTGAATTCAGTGATCCATCATGCGCTCTTTTTACAGATTGACAGCCTGTGTGGCCCACTTTGCCCATAAAAGAACAAAAGACACATTTAAGAACCATACAGCATTTTTTTCTGGCGTCTCTCTAAAGACACCAAGAGACTATAATGTAATATCTTCCAAAAAACCTATCGTGTCCACACTCACCCGTAAGTACCCTGTAATTAAATAAGAGTGAATGTTATGTTATAGACCTCAAGTGCTAATTATCTTTAACAAAAAACTGGGAAAGTTGCCATTTATTCCAACACTTTGGTTGCTTTACAGTCGTCTTTTTGTATACTGGCTCCAGAGGAGTATTTACTTAGGAGACTTTGGTGTAATCTCAACAAATTGCGTTTATTTATGTAGCTGAAATAACAGCCAACATTTAAATCAGGGCTGGATGTGTGAACAAAATATTTACAAAAAGCCCATGCGTAAACGTAATACAACATTTAATTAAAATATAAATATAGCACATAAGCCTATACAACACAAATAAATAAGACTCATATTTAAAATAATTCGTCCAATATAAATAAATAAAAATAGCCTACATGCGTCAGAACAGATCAGTGGATTATTTTATAAATTAAATGAAGAATGTTTTTGTGAAGAATGGAGGACATGTGTCTGCTACAGATGAGTCAGTTTAGGAGCTTGCATGATTCTGTCCTGAGTGCATCTCTGTTGGAAATATGACCCGTTAATATCCTCATCTGGGTCTGTTGTGCGTGAGTCGGTGTGCGTGTCGTACTGCATGTTAAACTGCGGGCGGTGCGTAAAGCCTGGAGCGGGATATTTTGAGTATTCTTCCGGGTACGCCGGCTGGGCCTGGTGTTGTTGGGACTTGAGCTGAGGGGAGGCCGGCTGGTAATCCCCGCCCAGATGGACATAACCCAGGCACGACAGAGTGGGGCTGCCCGGGGCGGAGGGGGAGGACGGGGGAGAGCAGGAGGAGGTGAGGCCCTGCACCCGCTCGTCCTTCTTCTGCTTCATCCTCCGGTTCTGGAACCAAATCTTGATCTGCCTCTCGTGCAGGTTGAGCAGGCTGGCCATCTCCACGCGCCGCGGTTTGCACAGGTAGCGGCTGAAATGGAACTCCTTCTCCAACTCCACCAGTTGCGAGCTCGTGTACGCGGTGCGCGTCCTCTTGGAGGCCGGGGGCGCGCCTGGACACTTCTCTTCGACGCTGATGCACTCTGTGGAGACAGGGAAATAAATGTTGAACTGGTTGTAATGACGAAGAGGTTTGTTTTTCTCTTTTGTTTTATTAATGATTTCCAGATCATTCTCAGTTTTTTTTCTTTGCCTGCAGTCACTCAGTATGCTCCTTCTTTACTGTCAGTTTGTTGTTGTATTACTCGACTCTGTTGTTCAAAATGCATGCATGATTAATCAATATAAGGTTAAATAAATAATAAGACAAAAAACATACAAATCCACAATCACAGGGTGATATAAGGTAAATGATAGTCAGAAACCAAACAAAAATCAGGTAGGCCATGGTTGTTTACAAGGGACAGAGGTTGTGGTGTAGCTACAAAGATTTGGTGTGTATTGTTGCTAAAATTAGTCGACTAATCGATAAGTTGTTTATAATATTTTTATTTTAAAAAATCTGAAAATGCTGTTGTCACCCTCCCAGATTTCCCACTTTTCCCTGTTTTATATCACCTTAAAGTGAATATTTTGGGTTTATAGACCGACAAAATAAGACATCTAAAGACACCATCTTGGACTTGAAACCTGAAACTGGGATAGACATTAATCTTTTGTTTCTGCCATTTTACAGACCAAACGATTAATCCTTGATCTGGACATTAATTTCCAGATAAATCGATAGTAAAAATAATTGTTACTTGCAGCCATAAGATGACAGGATAGGGAGAGGAGGAATCTCAGATATTTCAAAAATGGTGAGCAATGAATCATTAGCTGACGAAAGTGGTAAGGGGTGGATATTAGACAGATTTTTCATTTTTATTTGAATCTAAATTTAGATTATAGATTGTAAAGGCCTCCATCACCAGCCTGCTTTAAATGGACTGATTATTATTCCGCCTTATATAAAGTAAATTATATTTTAAGAGAATGTGAGCTACATATTTTTTCTCTAACCCCAATTTTTTATTAGTTTTTCTGTGCCCTTTAATTTTTCATTATTTCATACAGTTCTGTTTTTTCTGTTTTGCTTAATAAATGGGGTGAACGAATATGTGGTTAGGATTCTGATTAATATAATGTAAGCAACTAAACTAATGTGTTTGTCCTCGACTGTAGCTTCAATCGGCACCTGACCTTTTGAACCTGAAGAGGAGAAAATATAAATTAATTTCCCCCATTAAATGTATGAGAGCTCGTTAAAGGGACATAAATGAAAAGGCCTCATTTGGAAACAACTGCTGTCTCTTCTTCCACTCATACAGACCTGCGATTCTCCTGTCGTGTTTCTGATTAGAGGGTCTGGACTCTTTCATCCAGGGGAAAATCTTTTTGCTCACAGGAAACTTTTGCAGTTTGGATCTTCTGCGCTCAAACGTCTCCACTTGCGCAAGTTGTTGTTGTTGTTGTTGTTGTTGTTGTTGTGCGGCTGTGCACCCGAACCCGCCGACAGCCTCCAGAGACTCGCTGAAGAAGAGGTCGTCTTGATGCTGCTGGATGTTTTGTGTCGCACTGCCTTTCTGCATTTTTCCATTAAATGTGCACCGGGGCCCCCTTTGACCTTCTGACGCAGCGCTGGCAGCCAAATGTCACATGGCAGGTTTCCAGAGAGCCCTGCAGCTTCTGGCCTGAGAGGATCCAGAAAAAAGACGGAAGAAAATCAGGGAGGAGACCACATGATCCATCTTATCAACTCAATAGTAGGCTGACATGAATAGCGAGCCTTCCCTGGCCTGAGAGGCACATGAAATAAGAGTTGGGTGAAAATACACCCTGAGAAAAAACACCAATAAGAGAAAAGTCTTTACAATTTGTAAATAAATTAAACATTGTCTTTATATTTCCCCCTAACACTAATTCAGAATGCACTGGCCTACAACCAGTTTTCCTTAGTTTTTGTATTGTGTTGTAATGCAGATAAAATAAGCCAAAAAATTCAGATTTCAGTTTATTAAAAGGAGATTAGTTTGGGGAATTTTTGTTTATCTTTTAAAATAGTGAGATATTAAGGGTACCAAAAGCAAATATGCACATGAATGCTAATTAGTCTAAGGATAAAAACACAGACATAAATAGGCCCACCAAAATAAGTTATATTCTATTATAAATTCGTAAAATATTAGTTTTACTAGTTTGTATATTGTATATATATATGTTTGTGTTTTCTCAAATTAGATTAGATGAGAATAAAGAAATAACAACCTTTATCATCTTAATGGATGATCCTGTCGGTAAGTATTTTTTAAAGGGACATTTTTTTAAAGATCTTCACAATCTACTAAAAATCTCATCCATCTCCATCAAACACAAAATAATACAGACGTCCATTGTGCGCCGTGTTCAGCCGTGTTTCTGCGCCAAAACGCGAAATAAAGGAACAAAACACATCTGATTCAAAATCTTAATCAAACGCAATTCAACACAACACAATTACTAATAAGCAGGAGTTTCGGTGGCAGAGGCACTGAGAGAGAATACAGTTTGGAGGCATGCAGCTTTATGAACTCTGGGTGAACCGCGGCTTGGAGTCAGGCTCGTAAATCATAAAGACACATAACCCAGTCCGCGGCACAACACCCGGCTGCCTTACCTCCACAACCTACATTCATCCGGCACTGAAACAATGCTCCCCGCAAACAAACACACACCAGCTTCCTCTCGTTCTCACCTTTCTTTCCTTTTTCCTTGGATAACCTCCCCAGATTCGAATAATCCTGCAGAGAAAGCAGCGGCTCTCTGCTCACATTAGATGATGATGATGTGGCTTTGCATGCCAGTGGGGTGAAGCAGAGTGGACAGTGTTCCTGCAGCTCACACCGCCCTGCATAGCACACAATGTCAGGCTGTGTGTGTGTGTGTGTGTGTGTGTGTGTGTGTGTGTGTGTGTGTGTGTGTGTGTGTGTGTGTGTGTGTGTGTATGTGTGTGTGTGTGTGTGTGTGTGTGTGTGTGTGTATGTGTGTGTGTGTGTGTGTGTGTGTGTGTGTGTGTGTGTGTGGTGTGTGTGTGTGTGTGTGTGTGTGTGTGTGTGTGTGTGTGTGTGTGTGTGTGTGTGTGTGTGTGTGTGTGTGTGTGTGTGTGAGTGTGTGAGTGTGTGTGCGGGGGAGAAAAACCTTTCTGCTGATCATGCAAGCTCATATATGGAAATAGCATGGCTGTAATAAAGAGACGCTTTTCTATATGGTGAAATGGCTATTATAGCAAGGTGGCCAAAAAAGGCTGAATATGTTTGCCTTGAAAGCGCATTTTAAGTAGATTTAGATAAGGCAAATTGTCTGTTAAAAAAATGCCTCCCACTATCTTTAAAAACCTGCTATATTAAGTTGTATTTTCCCAGTTGTGTGAACACACAAACATCTCTATTTTCGTCCTGGGAACTCGTCCAGAGCTGTTATAATAAATTCAAACATCCCCTTTAGGAGCGATGCCAGCAGATGCAATAAATTACTCCGGCAAAGAAAAGCGATCAGTATTTAGTCTGGATTTTTTTTATTTATTACACATACAAAGTGCATTACGTCTCCTTTGTGTAATGAGATTTTTTTTGTTTTTCTAATTTAAATGAGTGAGTCATTTTGAAGCAGTGAAGGGGAGACAGACAGTGGTCAGCAGCAGCGTCCATTAAAAAGCTGGTTCTGTAATGAGGCCTTGGTTTGTTTTACACGGTGACCATCAGACTGCTGCAGAGCATCGATCTGTCGGAGCTTTGATGTCTCATCTTCATGTTTTGCTCGATCGCTTGGATTGGCTCTGAAAGGTAATATTTAACTGAGTGGCGTTAATTAATGCTAATGAACATCTTTGATCTGTGAGCCGTGCACACAGAAACATTTGAATATAGAGTGACCAGATCTGTTTCAAAATGTTACACGAGCTCCATGCTGCAGCTGCACCATGAGATCTAACTTTAAAAACAAATGATTAAATGTCTCAATGTCACTTTATTAGGTATACATGGCCAGTGGTGTACACTAAGTATTTATGTACTTGAGGTACTTTTACTTTACTTGAGTATTTCCATTTCCTGTTACTGTATTCTTATACTCCATTACAATTCAGATGCAAGTATTATACTTTTTACTGCCCCCTTAACATTTCAAATAAACATGTGATATATGATATTATGCAGTCCTATAATACTAATGACATACATAGTATCTCAAATTGGCTCCAAAAGATAAACATGATGTTAACATTGATGTAATACTGATTATAGTTCCAAAATGTGTCTGAATTGGGCCATTCTGCACATTGAGTTGTTTTACTTTTAGTACTTTGGCTACACTTTAAGTCATATTTTGAATCAGGTCTGTTTTTGTGGAGTATTTACTGTGCCCTTTGACTTCTTGCATAACTAATGCAAATAATCCAATGCAAAAATCCTACAATACATTATCAGTTAAAGGTCCACTTACAAGGACATTTCCTTTATCTAAAGCTATCAGTCACATATTGACATGTAGGTTTTGATTGGAGTAAACATGACAACTGAGCTTCCTGGTGATGAAGGCCATGAGACGTGACGGAAAGCTCTGGAAATGTAGATTTATTAATCACCTTTATGGAGGGTGTAGTGCTGATAAGTTATGTCCTAACAAATCAATGCATCTTAATGAAAACGCAGTTAGGTGTACATACTAATCTGACATGCACTGGTGTATCAATAACAACAACTACAGTGTGCCACTTTGATTTACTTTGACTGTACTTGAGTATTTCCATCTTACGCTATACTTCTACTCCACTACAGTTCAGTTTGAATGACATTTTCATTTATTCAGAATAGTTTTTAGAATTAAAAACAAATAATGGCCTAAATGATATTATGCAGTTCTACATCGAACCAGTAGTATCTCAAATTGGCTTCACAATGATTAACTGTGACATTCAAATGTATTTGATTGTGGGATTTGTTGTTGGTAATATAATATAATATAAATCTGCAGAACAAATACTTTTACTCATGATATTGTAGGAACATTTAGCTGACTCTGCAGTGATGGACTGCAAGTAAATGTACTCAAGTACTGTATACAATTTTAAGCTGCTTGCGAGTATTTTGTAGTTTCTGCTATAGATTTCTATTTATATTGTATTGTGTATTTCTCCTCGAATATATTTACTTGTTCTCTTATAACAGTATAAATCAAAGTTCACCTTTACCAGCTGCAACATTAAATCAATAAATACATTAATGAATTACAAGCTAATAATAAAACATATATAACAAAAGGCTCCAAGAATGTACTTTTTCTAGTACTATTACTCTTGGTATATTTGCATGCTAGTATTTTGGTACTTTTACTTGAGTAACATTTGAAATGCTAAAGTAACCTCTTCCACACGTACATGTGCCATAAATCTCTCTGAAAGGCTAAAAGAGCCATGTGAATACAAAGAAAATCAGCATTAAGTGCGGTGTCTTAAAACCGTCTAAATGGTGCAGTGATGTATGGGGCAGCGGAGGAGAAGATGCAGACTGATATGATAAGTCAGTGTACAGTATAAATATAAATTCATGTTGGATCCCTGCGGCCTGCAGCGGCTGACAGTTATTATTCAGATATGACAACATCCCTGAGCTGCACTTTACATCCCATCTTCATCACCCCGGCGAGCTCCACACTCTTCAGCCTGCCTGTCTAATCTGTGATGGACACACACACCCCCACCCTCGTCCTCGCCCCACACCCACACCCCCCCACTACCTCCTCCACCCTCACCCAGCCTTTCAGTGTGCAGGCCTGCTGACAAAGCTCTTGTCAATTAGCTGCAGGAACCACGTGTCCACAAGGAGGATGTATGCCTCTGAATTCATTCATGGACAGTTGAATCAACAGTAGGAGCAACGTCCCACAGCTCAACAACACAGCAAATAAAATAAAAGACACTCTAGACTTTAAACAAATATGGGTTTAAAGTGCAAAAAAATGCAAAAAGTTACATTTAAAAGTTATTTTGCAAAATCAAAGTCATAAATAAACTACATTTTAAGGGAGCTTTAATGTGAGGCCTGTACAACTCTACTTTATTTAGCAATTATAAGCAAAAAACTTTAATATCTGCTTTATAACAAATGATTTATCAGCAGATGTCATTGTTTATATAAGAATACTGTATGTCATCAACTGTAAGTGTATAAACATAATGAATGATAATATATGCACAGTTGTAATACTAGCCTAAGTTATAATAATATATAATTATTAACACTTCATTGAGTTATACATGCTTACAGTAAAGCGTGACCTACATCCACCTAAGTGATTATTCCCTCACACACACACACACACACACACACACACACACACACACACACACACACACACACACACACACACACACATATAGCCAATTAAACATATATAATTCAAAGAACTTACTTTTCTCTTTGGATCTCATCTTCTCAGATTCTCCGTCCTGTGTGTTGGCTTGGAGCAGTTTGTTGGGGTCCTCCTCACATTTCCCTGGAAAACTAAAACTCCTCCTCGACCATACAGGCGGTGCAGGCAGTGAAAAGAAGATAAATGATGTGCCGAACAATGGCCCACATTCAAGGGCCCGTCCTGCAACTCTCACAGATGTCATATTCTCCAGCAATGTGCAGCTAGAAGAGAAAAAAAAGAAACATAAGAGACTCAACATTTTTGTATGGACTCTGGTGAGGGGCCTGCAGGACTCCAGGCACAAAACAGCACACATTTCCCACCACGTCTAGCATGCCATACAGTGATTATTGCCAACATTAAATAGCATTTCCTTTGTCTTTAAATGATGATTATGTTCCGCTCGAGGTGAAGTGTCATCACCTACATACTCCCCAAGAAGCGAATTTGTGGCTGCTGCTATTTTTACACAAATTCGGATCTACAGGGTATATATAGGTGACAGGAGGTCAGCACAGGAGGAGCTGCAGCTTCTCATTTAATATCACACATTTGAAAACAGCACACTCGATTCAAGGAATTTAGAGCTTTTAAATGTCATCTTATCTCTCTCAACTTTAACGAGACCTTATAAAGAGTCTATAACATACTATTAACAGCTTTATTAATGGTTAGTTAAACATGTATGTGTTACAAGAAGAGTAGAAACATTTTGTGTTTCCAGTTTTTGAAAAAAGTAGTGGAGGTTATCCTTCTCAATTTGGTTATAATAATAAGCTCATAGGGTTATGACTGCCTAATAAGCCATACATCTGTCATTATGAATGTTAATACAATCATTAATACGTTTTTCTTTTTTAAATCAAGCTTGCATTTATAAATGTTAATAAGTCCTCAATAAAGGGGTTTATTAAATTAAGTCTGCATTTAATAATGTGAATAAGCCGTTAATAAAGAGGTACAATGATTAATTTCTGCAGTAATACATGTTATTAAGTCTAAATAAAAGGTAACAATCCACCAAATATGAGGTTCACCACCTAAAATGTTTTCATGTATGGCCTTTATCAAACCTTAAGAATACTTGGTCATGGTTTATTACCCATTAAATACGTTTTTGTTGACAGCTTTTTGGTGATAGTTATTAAAAACATGTTAATATCCCATATCTCAGTATGTTAGGGGTTTATGGTCTTTAACCTTGTTGGTCATATAAACTGAGTGTTGTCTCCCGTTAGGCTCACAGTGCAGGAGGAAATACTCAGAACCTTTACTTAAGCAAATCATGTCAATATCCACTATTAAAGTATTGCATTCCAAATCTTAAGTAATGATTTTCAACAAAAGAAATACTCCAGTATTCCACAGAAAAATGTACCAGGGATATATAAAGACATGACACATACTAGTTTCTTTGTATGAATGTTAATGTTGGAGCTGCTCAATGGAGCTGGTTGTAATACCTTTTACCCAGTGGTTCTCAACCTAGGGGTCGGGCCCCTCCAAAGGGTCACCAGATAAATCTGAGGGGTCATGAGAAGTTGAACTGATGAGGAAGAAGAAAAAACAAGTCCTGTTACACAAACGTGTATTTATATTCTGTACATTTATATGAAATGTTACATTACCTGACCTTGCTAGAACAGTTATTAAGTTGGAAGGGGACTGCTAACACCATACACATTTTTTAACTGGTCTTAAACCAAAAAAGATAGGAACCACTGGTTTATTTTGTTACATTGCACTTGAAATAGATCCTCTTTTCAAAAAAAGAACCAACTTGTTACACAGCTTCTTTCCAGGATAATGAAGTGAGGGAAAAACAGTTTAAGTGAACAAATTACATCCGTGCACTCAATATAATAAGTGCAACAAAATAAGAGAACTAAATATATTTATATTTGTTAAAAAAGCCTCATCTAAGACATACTATGATACAAAATACTGTTTTCTTCATCCACATGTTTCTGTGCCCTGGAACTCTATTCTAGAGTCGCCTAAAAGAGAAAAAACAAATCAATAGCTCAGGTATTATTGTTTACATATCATTATGAGGCTGAACTCCAAACAAAGAGACAAGGAACAAATAGGTTCCATTCTCAGCTCAAAGAGTGCAGGATTAAAGGTTAGTAATAAAGAGATGATGACTGCTGAACAGGCTCACACTGGTGTTTCTGTGTTGTGCTCTGTAACCTCCCTGGCTCTAATGATAGCAGCCTGAGCAGAGAAACCCATCCATCATCCGCCTGCTCGGTCTGAGGCGCCCTCTGCTGGCACAACCCCTGCACTGCACCTGCACACAGCTCACTGCACTGCCAGATGTTGGGCATCCATGACACGAGAACCTGGCCTCACAAAATAAACAACCAAGGTGACATTTGTCTCTAGCGAATTCCATTATTATGATTTAATGAATGCATTCATTTCCACGTGAGAAGTAATCCATTAAAAAAATGTTATTGGCAATAAGTTATTTTATGTAAAAAGAAAAACACATTCTTTCTCCATTATATCTATTCTTATATAACTGATTTTGAAATGTATTGTTTACACTAATTGAGTTGAAACAGAAGCTGCATTAGTAAACAGTGATAACACATATTTTATATTACAGACAGAACCCATGAGCGATTTAAAATAGTGTGTGTGATGCATTATGGTGCCTTTTTATTTACTATAATAGTAAATAATAAGTAATTTAATATGTATAATAAATAAAAGGACAACACTTTTTATACATGTGTTCAAAATATAAATAAAGTCAAAGCAGACAAAAAAGAAATTCTGGTAATTTTACGCATTGTGTTTGCAGTGATTTTCAACCAAAACCACAGTCTCTAGAATTTTAAATATAACAGGAATTAAAAAAAAGATTGAAGTACATTATCTTTTGCGCAAAACACAGCCTTTTCCCCTCTCGGTGGTGACAGTGCAAAGTGTGGCAGCAGAGCTTCCTGCAGTCCGTCTACTGACCCAGCGATGATCCCCACCGCCATGAATTATGCATGAGATCCGGCTACAGATTACCTCTATCAATATGCAATACTCATTACGCTGGTTAAATTGCCACTTAATAGTTATGAATATGTGGAAAATGTCTGGGACCCATATAGCCCACCACTGGTTTTTAACTTTTTTTTCTTTTTTACATTAAATGAGTTTGCACAAGTTTCACACAACCTTCCGTTTCCTGGAGATAATATCATTAGTTTTTATTAGTCAAATGCATATAAGCACACATGGCCTGCATGGACATTTATTTATGTTAAATCAGTGAAGCTTGTGTCCAGCTCTGGGGTGTCCGAGACTTCACCTTTGGCCGCTCGGTGACTCGACACTTCGGGATAAATCACTACTGGACTCGCTCAAGTTCGCTGCGTGTCAGCGGCATAAAAGCCAACAGTTCCAGCCTTAAATACAAATTATTAGATTCTTTTTTTTCTGCAGAACATTTTGTGTTTTGGAATGTAATGGGGTGTTCCATTATTTATTTTAAACAATAAACTTTCAAGTTGGTTTCATAAAAGAGGCCTTTAAAGCCTTTGTTTCCAAACATTTTCCAATAAGTTTGTTTAAAATATTGGAATAGTCAAATAATTGTTGCTCTTCTTCGTGTAGGTGTGTTGAAGAAATAAGGATTTTTTTTTCCTAATAGTTTCAGATTTTTTTAAATGTTAAATTAAGAGATATTTAACACACTTCTAAATACAATTCCGGCCACAATATGTGTATAGTATTATTTCCCAAGTTTTTCCAGCAGCCTAAACTACCTAAACACAACTGGACACTTCCTCCCCTGTCCAGCCTTTCCAGTCCCATCCATGCAGTTAAGCCGTCACTTTCATTCAAGGTTGTGAATTATATAGTACATTGTCTACTCCCCAAAACCATAAAACCAACTTTATGGACCTCACGTGACTTTTCACAGTCTGTAAGTAATATAGGTCTATACAATCTTTGGTAAGGGGGATTTTTACCAACTTCAGCATGGCCTATATGCCTGTAAGCCAAAGCTTTTTGGGGATTTTATCAGCAGCATATTCCCCACATGGCACACACGCATCTCGCTGCAGAAGAGTCCGAGGAGGTAAGTTTGAAAAAAGTTAGATATTTAAGTTTTTGTGTCACTTTGTGTGTGCTACAAAGAGACCACATCTCGTCTAAAATGTGTATTGTTCGTGTGACACTTTTATAATTCTCACAAGTTAATCATTAAGTTAAATTCGGGTCAGAAAAAAGTTGTTACGCAGCTGCTTAAAAAAACAAAAAATGGCGTGATTTAGGCCTACATGTGTTTTTATTCTAATTGATAATAAAGTTTAGACAAGCAATTTGAATTGAGAAACTTTTATTTCCAAGCGCTATGAGTTCACTTACAAATACAAAAAGCTTATTGGCGAAAAAAGCTTACATCACTTGCCTATCCACAGAATAACCCTTTGCACAAAAAAATTGATCACATTGACAGGTTGAATACATTTGCATTGCTCAATAATTATCCTAAACAATAATAATAATAATAATAATAATAATAACAACAACAATAAGAGTTGCACAAAATATTCCTAAAGCTACACAATTGGCTTGAATGGATGTTGGCCACAAGATCAAAAATAGCAGTAAAACTTACACTAAAGCGCTTTGAATGGCCCCGGAATACATTAGGTTTACATTCAATGAAGAGCAGCATATGGTTTGGAAACTTTTTTTTTTTTAACTGTACAATGAATTTACTCCTGTTAGACCGTGAAGAAGTCACAATAAAGAGCTCAAGTTGAAACACCTTCAAGAAAGAGTGAGGAGGGAGGGAATGATAGATAGAAAGAGAGACAGAGAGACAATTAATACCCCCAATAATATTTACATCTTATTTTCCACATCTAAGCTATATCATAGTACAACAACAGAACTAAAAATGGCATTTTTTAAAGACCACAGGATACTTATTTTTCTATCACAATAGCATGCTGAAAGGTGCTGCGCTTCCAAATAGCTTTACAGTACTCATGGATTCTTTTTTTATCATTTATTTTTTCTGAATTATTATAATTATTTTTTGTTTCACTTTCCCCCAAAAAAAGTTATTCAGTTGTGGAAGGCGCTGCCTCCTGTCACCAGACTCATGCTTTTCAGTTTATTGTCCTTCTTCCACTTCATCCTGCGGTTCTGAAACCATATTTTGATCTGTCTTTCGGAAAGACACAGGGCGTGGGCTATCTCTATCCTCCGCCGCCTGGTTAGGTACCTATTGAAGTGAAACTCTTTCTCCAGCTCTAGCGTCTGGTACCGGGTGTACGCGGTTCGGGCCCTTTTCCCATCCGGTCCAGTCATATCTATAATTTTTACAGAAAAGCCACACAGTTAGCAACTGCACTGCAACAACAACAGAGGGTCTTTAAATGTGGCTTCACCATGAGGATGCACAGAGGGGTCACAAGATGGGATGATGCAGAGGAAGCATGCAACCAACACGACACATTACACACTTAACTGTGCATTTCTTATGTCAAAAGAGCAGCCTGCACACATTTGAACATCCTCTCTCATACCTGCAGCCCCGTGTTACAAATACTGTCCTTTTCTCAATCATCCACACCAACCAGCTCACTCATGCAACACTTGACAGATTTACGATCAACGTGACAACCTTCCAAACTAAATATTATTTAGAGGCAGTAAAAAATTACCATGGTTTATGTGCAGTTTCCTCATCCAGGGGAATATTTGTGGGGATTGGCAATCATTTGACGTGGGAGTGGAAGAGGTGGCGTTGAGGTCCTGGTGCTGCTGCGCCCGAGGAGCCGAGCTGGTGCCCCCGCTGCTGTGCGCGCCCTCCTCGGTCTCAGAGGCGACCGTGGCGTCCTCTATCTCCGTGAAATGAGCGTTGTTGTTTTTGTTGAGGTTGTTACCGCTGGAGGTCGAGCTCCGGTCAGATGGAGGAGAGGGGCTTTTTAGTTCCAGCTGCTCCCGGCTGGCCGTGGCGCACGACGGCGGCACCGGATCTGGAGACGAGAGCGAGCAGTTGGGAGTCTGTCTGTAGCGGGCGTCCGGCTCGAATCCCCGGGCATCCTCTCTCACCGCACCGAAGTGGCCGCCGTTGTTGGTGCGGTTCACGGTTAGGTCCATGCCATTGTAGTTGTAGCCGAAAGACCCGGAATGCATGGTGCCAGGGTCTCTGAAGGAGCCGTTCACAGCGCCGTTAGTCCCATAATTTAGTAACTGATAGTCGGAGCCATTTGGATAGCGCCCTGAGAACGAGTTTACAAAGTAAGAGCTCATTTGCTTGGATTTTTAAAGCCTCGATTTGTAGATCTTTGTCGCTATAATCCTGTGTGCTTGCACGATTTATGGATGCAATCATGAATTATAAGCAATGAAGCCCTACTGTACTTTGCCAGGTATGCGGCCAAATATGGGAGAGCGTTCGGGAATCACGTGCCTTTGTTGACCAGTCGTAAATCCTCACTGATGACTTCAAGAGGTAATTCATGCTCCATGGTTACAAATGATGACGAAATAATGGTCGTTAGGCTCCAGTCAATGGTGCCTCCCCGCTGCGCCCCGAGAGCCGCGCAGGCAGAGAGCGCCATCTTGCGGACAGAAGAGGTATCACTCCGCCGGGACGCGCTGTCAGGCCCTAAAGTCATCCATCATTTATGTAACGCGCTCATAATATAGGCCACAAAAGGCTCAGGTAACACATAACAAAGACTTATCAGCCACACGGCCGTAGAGAGTGTCAAACTGGAAATTATTTTAATCTTTACGCAGGTTTTATGTGTACATGAGGGCTTATTTTATAGCTTATTGTGACTACAGGAGCAGTTAAGCGCCCTATAATAACAATGCCATGCCTTTCTAGTTATGATAATAACAATAAGTGTCGTTTTCCTTGTGTATAAATGACGCCACAAGATTTTCCAATATACATCAAAAAGCCTTTATTTCTATATACAATTTCCTAAACAAAATATTGCACACAATATCCAGATGTGCATTGAACACAAGGTGAACGACAATAAATAACATGTAACATTTTTTTTGTATCTGTACAAATGTTAAGTGTTGATGGCACAGCTGTAAACAACAAGACTACTATTATTAGAAGTATTATTAGAAGTATTATTATTATAGGACAACTAACACACAAGATGTACAATGAAGGACCAAAGCTTCTTTTAATGTCACAAAAATAATAATAAAACTCATGTAGGCCTACGATAATGAGGTAACAACATTGTCAAAAACTAAAACACTAAAAAAGTATTTACATTTTGGCGGGTTTTGCATAGTCCCCTAAATAAACACACGAGCACAAGGACAAACAGAGGAGGACCTGATGGGAACCTAATGCAGACATTATCACCGTGCAGAAACTGAAATACAGTCTATCACCCTACACGTCTCTAACATGGGATTTGCAGCACTTTATCTACAAAGAAATACATTTTTATTTTTGAGGAGGGTGTCCTTTAGCTCTTCTTCTCCGCCTGTTCCTCCTCCTCGGGTGTCTTTGAGGGGTTCAGGAGTTTGTTCTCCTTTTTCCACTTCATCCTGCGGTTCTGAAACCAGATTTTGATCTGTCTCTCCGTCAGACACAGGGCGTGGGAGATCTCTATCCGGCGCCTCCTGGTCAGGTAGCGGTTAAAGTGGAACTCCTTCTCCAGCTCCAGAGTCTGGTAGCGGGTGTAGGTCTGTCGGCCCCTGCGGCCACTGTTGCCAAATGGACCTGGAAGAAAAAAAGAATGGAATAAAATCATGAATTAATTATTAAACGTCTGCTTTAAGTGAATTTCGAAAGTATAGGAGAGACATCTACCTGAGAATGCTGAAATCTGTAGTGGTGTGTCTGAAAGAATACAATAAAGTGGTATTTCAGATATGTGGTGTATTTCAACTCAAAACAACATGCTTTTAACATTGAAATATAATAGTTTGTTGTGAAATTAGTGGGAAAATATAAAATAAATAATTAACTGTACTTTATTGTAGGATTTTTTTTAATGTTCTCCTATAAACAGCCCACTATATTTTACCAAGATCACATGATGTAACGCAGAGAGAACTCAAAGGATTATATTCCTTTACACAAATATAATAACTATATTTTAACATAACACGTCTTAATAATACACATAAGACGCTTTATAGAGGCTTTAAAATGACATTTACAAATGTTTTACTCTATAAAAAATAGAAAAAATATCCTAAATGATGTCATCACTATATAAACTACTCTGGGTTGTAGCCTTTATTGTGTGAACTGCGTTGTGCGTAAAAGTGCCCTGATGGTGTATTTTCTCCCTTACTGCAGCAGTGTATTGTTCTATAAGATTACAGTAAGGATGTACAGTCAGAGTGAAACTGCGCAGTGAGGAACAACACGCATACAACGTCACGTTTTATTGTTTAGATTTACTCTTAATTTTTGTATGGGACATTTAATCGCTGCTAGAAGTGTTTCTGCGATATTTAGTATCCCTCTAAAAATGAAAAAAGGCCCATTCTGAAGATGCCATGTGACACTTGGCTTTAAGTTGGAGCTCCGCTTGTGTAGGCCAAGTCTGTGTGGACTTGCGTGTGTGTGCGCGTGCCGTAGTGTATGTATGTGATGATGATGTAGCAGCCAAAGCCCTGAAGGCGCACAAAGATCCGTGCGCAATCACAATAATATCACTTTGGGCTCAGTAATGGCCTAATTATTTGATGTTTCTAAGTTGATTACATATTAGCGTGAGCTTGGAGCTCGCATACAGCTGACAGGTGACTGTGTGCGGCTCGGGATGCTCGCTCCATCACGCGGAGAGCTTTTACCTCCAGGCTGCGTGTCAACAACATTGTACTCACCGGCGGAGCAGGCGTTCATCCTCTGCATCCACGGGTAGATGAGGGTGGAGGACTTGTCGTCGATGCTGCTGCCGCTCATGCTGACAGTGTGCTCCGCGCACTCCACTTTGCGCTGCTCCTGCGTGACAAACAGCGGCTGGTCGTCGCGGTGACTCGAGAAAGCGCACGAGCCATCCGCGTCCTTGTAAAAAGTCCCGACCGGGTTGTAGTCGCAGGGCGCTCCGCCGCCGGCCCTCCCGTAGATGGCCGCGGCAGCTGCGCCCGTCTGCTGGTAGTAGGACGCCGGGTAAACCTTCTCCTGCATGTTGGCTGCTCCATATGTGGCCGCGTTGGAGTAGTGTCTTAACTGATCGGTGTATCCCGAGGAATATAACGGTATCTGACCCAGGAGAGAGTCCTGTCCTCCCGGCAGAGACACGGGAAAAGTTGAGTTAACAAAATAGGAACTCATTGGGTGGACAACGGGGTGTATATACTCCGGAGGAATATGATTTGTTGTCTTTTATAGTCCAAGTGGTTTTGCCATTACTTTATCCGAGATTTGGTTTTTGCTGAAAGGGGGGGTTGTGAGGTGCCACTGAATACAGAGGGGAAGTGTACCATCTGATCAACCGCTGGCCAATCACCGCCGTCTGTGTTTGCACTATTGCACCCATGGGGGGCTCTTGTTGCGCGCAGGGGTCCCCGGTGAATCGAAATGAAGCGCTCGAGCCTATCGGTCTTTACGCACGCTCACGCACACAGAGAAGCAGCTCATAGAAATACACTTCAAAAAAACATGCTACATTTTGAACAATTAGTGGAATAACTTTTCGTTTTATGCAAATAAAGCCCAATAAAGCAGATGGACTCCCCTCTATTATAAACAAGCACGCGTGTAAAAACTCCCCCTTTCTCTCTTACACGCACACAAACACAAACACAATGCAAAAAAAAATTACTTTGCGCATTATTTCTATTCGCGCACAAATGACTGGCTCTCTCCTCCACTTCCTCTAACATTCACTTCCATCTTGTTAAATGATTTAATAATTAATAAACCAATCAAACACTGTATCCTTAAGGCAGCAGCAACATTTCACAACAATCCGTGTGAATTCATCCAAATGATGCAACGACAAAAATAGTGCGTCAATAATGTTTGTTTTTCACTCTTTAAAAAAAAGGTGTGAGCTCTTCCTGATTTCTGATTCAACACCAGCTGTGACTGAAGTCCACGCAGACGTGCAGAGGACACGAGGGAGGACACGCGCTTGCACACTGATCATCATCACCTTCATCATCATCATCATCTTCACCCACCGTGATCAAGTGGGAACTAGTTCCTCATTTTTTTTTTAACTGTGTGAGTATACATGTGAGAATTCAGCCTGGATGATGATTACGTTCCATTTCATCGATGTGTTTACAAATAGTTAAGAAAATTACTTAGATACTTTAAGTGTATTATTATTATTCATATCATTTGTATTATGTTATTAACGTTACTTTTAGTAGCTGTTTACAATGCGATGCTCATTATTGATCAATTAAGTAATATTACTTGCTTAGTATTATTAATAACCTTCATATTTAGTTTGCTCAGCAGTTAAAGCCTTATTATGGGCTTCTTAATAATAAGAGTTTACAGTCCTTTCTTTAAAAACACATTTGTGAATTTGTTAAAGTTGTTATAATTTACATTTATGATTTTTTCCTAATTCATAAAGATAATTTCCTGCTTTTTACATAGCTTTATCTTTGATAAAACACACCCTATTAAATAATACATCATTGAAAATAACGAAAAAAAGCACTGTGTAAATATTTGATGCATATTAGCTCATTAACAAACCTGATTTTCACTCTGCTGTTGCTTTAGATGCAGAACGCTGCTGATGTTTGCGTTATTTTGATAATATCCATTTATAAATCATTTGGATTTTAAATGAAAAATAATATCATTATTTGGCTACAGTCAGTGAACGCCTCCCCACAGGCCGCAGCCTGACAGCTGCTGCAATTGGGCAAACAAACAAACAACACACCCAATAATTATACAACTGCTCTGTCAGAAAGACACACATGCAGTCATTTATTTATACAGGATCACATGGTGTTATATAAGCTCTCATTAAACTGCAGGATCAAACACGACATGTAGAGAAGGGCTGCAGAGGCGCCGGAAATCAGATTCAATGTTTAAAATGCTCATTGACTTTAAAGTTCATGCAAAATGACAAATTGGCCTCAAAGGAGCAAATATAAGTCCAAAATGATACGGTATTTAGATAAAAGAGGTGAAACAGCTCGATTCGGCAGCGAAATATGCACATATGCACTTCTACCACTGTTTTTCAAAATATAGCAATACAATAAGGCAATATAAAATGACATAAAATAGGAGTCATTCTTCTAGGCGAGTAAAGCGTGGATAGATAAAGCAGATTTTTAAGAAAAGCGTGAATCGGCGGTATCATACAGGGCCTGTATGACCATCATCACCATCATCATCGCCACCATCATCATCAAAGTCAAGCCTGTCTGTTTTACAGAAGCCACTCCTGATTATATAACATTTTAAATCTTCAAAAAGGCCTCACATTTGCAACATGCAGGTTTATTTGTACACATTTTATCGCACAAATATCGCTCTGTGGCTCCAGCATGTAACGGGTTACACAGGCAGATCAGCAAGTGGTTGTGAATACCACACAGCGTACGAAAGCACCGAAGAAGATTCTTTTGGATAATTGCCATTTCTTAAAGACTGATCTTCCCATTTGCAGTAATATAAACAGCAGGCCTACAGTGACAGTCCAGCCACAACAGAGCAGCAGCGGCGCACTTGTGTGGAGATAATCGCTGGCATATTAGAAACATGGTGCCCTTACCTTTGTTGATAATCCATCATTTCCAGTGTGGCTGCCACTCCGCGCAAACCTCCTCTCTCCTCCTCTCAAGTCTTTCCCCCACGAATCCCCTACTTTGTTCAAGTGATTTCATGAAATAATCCCACCATCCAGGGCTGTGATGATCCCTCATTTTCCCCCGACCATATACTGTAGCTACAAGTATAGGCTACAGCCACATTAACATGGCGCACATTGATCCTTCCGTCAATTGTTGGTACAAATACGCACGTCTCACAACAAAACTGCGTAGGCGTGTAGCATAAACAAAGAGCCAAGAAAAAGGTTGTGTTACTAGTGTTAAATGAATGAGCGGTGGAAAACAGCAGCTGCAATATAACCTCATGGGAAATAAGTTCCCATTCTGCTGTCCACATGACCGCCAGCGACCAATCCCCGAGCCAGGCGCGTCGTAAACTTCCAAGTCAAAGTTGTAAATTTTCATAAACAGCAGCCGTTTTTGTGCTTCAGACATGCTTTCTCATCGCCATCTTTATTTTCTCCAAGGCCGGACATGTTGGGATTGGATGCAGGATTACAAGGAAAAGTGTAAATAGCCTATGTGGAAATGTGAAGGTTTAAGAGAGGTGGAGATTTGTTCTGATGCGTTCCAGCTTCTGGTTTCTGACTAAAAAAGGTCTGTACATGCTTTGAATTCTCCTAAAATAACAACTGTAGTGCTATCGGCTTGTTTAAAGACTTAAATCAGAGTATAATATACTATTTTGGCGTACATTTGCCAATATAGGCCGCTTTCTTTACATTCGTTTCACCTTCATTACGAGAAGTGCGTCATTTTACGGCTCAAACTCTTATTACTATACTCTTATTTCCTGCTTGTTTAAAATAGTTTCAGGATAAAACCACCAAAAGCTATTTTTGCATTAAAGGCTATTGTGAAATCCCAAAATAGAGGATTTTCCTCCAGTCGCTGCAGAACAGTTTGACATTGACCATTCAGGCCAAAAATGGAAATAGAGTTCGACTGATTGGAATCCTGAGGGGGATTTTAAGGTCACACAAACTTGAGGCGGCACATTCGCCAACTTTTCGATCAAGATTATAAGAGCGAAATGAACAGGAAAGCCAAATTAATTCTTTAAACGTAATTCTTTTTTTTTCTAGTGTCTTATTTCCGTTTTGGGATTGTTTGAAATGGCCTTTTTCAGTTGGCATCTGGTGATTTTCCACAAACAACCAGGATTTCCGACATTTATAGACGCAATAAAACCATAAATTCCTGAAATGCAACACATGCATCCTCCCCTGGCCTCCAAGACACACAAACTCAGACAAAGTCACTTTATTTTCCTTAAAATGTCATACTCGCGGATCAAAATACGATCAACAAAAATTTGCTTTGAAACGTGTAATTATTTCCAAAAGCTTGTCATGTTTATCTTCTGATCTTTAATATTCATTCCTAAAAGTTAGAATAATGAAGCATAAATCTGATCAGGCCTTTCAAATCGTTAGCTTTCGTAATGTTGTAAAAGTTCAAAAATGACAACCAAGTCCTCGGAGGGGCCATGCTTGCTAAAATATATTTTATTAAAACTCTTTCGATTCAAATTAGTCGATAAATGGGCCTTTTTAGGCGCGAGATTGGACATTTAAAACTATATAATGCAAGATACCAATTCGACATATAATAATATTTGTGCACACATTACTGTCCATCTATATTTTCTGAGCTATTAAGATAATATTTACTTATAGAAAAACGTTTCTCACAGTGTTGTTGGATAATTTCGTATTTGTTTTGTTTCTTTCTGTCTTCAGGCTGCGACCAAACAAAAGGAACCGGATGCTGTAAAACTTTATGGCCTCTTCAACTCTCATTAAAGCTTCGAGATGAAACCACACACACTCCTTTTCGATTCATAAGTCACTTTGTAGCAAAACTGAAAGATGTCCGAAAAAAAAATAGGCATGTATTATATTTAAATATGCAACCATAAAACATTATAAAATCACTGGAATCTATTTATCGGAAAATTGAATTAAACAAGAAGGTGATTTATAAAAAAAGATAAAATGTTTTGTTGACCAATAGTGCAAAAAAAATCAAAACTTGAGAAAAGAGCAGAAGGCCTTTATTTTTTAATATCCCTCAGTTACTCTTGAGATATGGTTTTAGTGGTGTTTATAATATCCATTTGGTTTCAGTAAGCACATTCATGCTCATCAACCCTGACTTTATTAGATTCTGGTACATTTTCCCAGAGGATTTGGATGACACATGCTGTTAAATCAGGCTTGTCTCCTTTTATTTTGGCACTGTAGGTGAGGTTTATTTGAGATAAATTCATCCCCGGGGCAAAATGTTACACATATGTGAGCACACACAGTGGGTAGAAAAAGTGAAAAAGCCATAATGGTGTTGTCTGCAGTGCAGGAGCTTATTGAGTGGCAAGCAGAGTAAACTGCAGGAGTCCAGATATCAAATCTATCTATAAAGTATCAGTGTGTTTCACAGTTTCTCTACCTCCACTCCTCCTCTGCAGAACTTTACATCCCACTGCAGGTTGCTGTGGTTCCCCTCACTGCCCTTTACCGTGCTCCTGCTGGGGGGGGGGCTATGCGGGAGGATTTGCGGACCATGTGAGAGAAGCCAGGCCTCCTGACCAAGGGGGCCCGGGTGGAGATGACGAGCAGGCTCTGCAGAGCGGAGGGGTCGTGGGACACGTAGGAGCAGCGCAGGGCGGCTTTGGGGACGTGGTGGTTTATGATGGGGACGCTGGGACGGGACCGCGAGCAAGTCGGGGAGCTGCTCCTGAAGTCCTGCCTCCCAGAGAGAGAGCCCCCCGCTGAGGAGGAAACACAGAGGAGGTCTGACTCACTGGGAATATCAGGTGTGGAGTTTAAGTGTGTTTGTTTGAATGAAAAGGGGGAGGGGAAGTATTCAGATGTTTAAGGTTGAAGTAAATACCAACGGGTGAAAATACTCTGCAAACATCCTGCATTCAAAATCAGTTAAAGTCAAAATTAGACTTTTAGAATCACATTTGAAAGTTTTCAATATACAGACCCATTTCAGAGGCATACACATTTTGTAATCTTTGTCATTTATAGGATTTATATTCATGCGTTCAGAATCGGAATACTTGACTTATCCTGGGGGAAATGGGGTTTTGTGACAGTTGCGCCATTTTAGAAAGACAATGTTAGAGTAAGAATGTGCAATAGACATTTTAAATAAAATAACGATATTTATACAAAAATTAAAAGTAAAATGTCCAATAAAATAAAATACACATATTTATATAAGTTAAAGTAGAAATGTGAACATAATACAATATATAGTATGTACAATATATTAATGCTGAACTGCATTACAATGTGTTCACAAATAATAATATTATTTTATTCAGATAATAATTGTAATTATACCTTATTGTATTAAATATAATCTCTTATTATTGGATTTACATTTTTTTTTACCATAATATGCAAAGTTACTAAAGCTATCAAATATATGTAGTTGAGTAATTAATAAAATATTTGCCCTAAAAAATGTAGTAAAGCAAAATACATGGAATTACTCAAGTAAAGAACAGGCAACTTCAAATTGTACTTAAGTAAAAGACTTAGTAAATATAGTTCCATCCCAACGCTGAAGGAAAGATCGAATTGTATTCACCCTGAGGGATATGCTTGTGAAGCAGTTGAGGTACCAATAAGGAAAGGGTGCAAATATAAAATATAAAACATCCATACATATACAAATGAAAGAATATCAATATCCAGATAACAGATATCCATAATCCAAAATATCCAAAATGTCAGAAATATAAACAATGTTTTGAATTGCAATTATAAAATCCTATACAATGCTTTTAATTGTGTTTTTAATAATGTTTGTGATTTTAAAGTGAATGCTACTGTACACAAACAGATAATATGAATGAACATTATGTATATGATTCAAACGTATTATTGTAATTGGGTTTGTTAATATTCATGTAACGAATATGATGGACAATAAAGAAGACAAATGGTAGGTATGAAAAGCTGTCTCTGATGCAACATTTGTGATAATAAATCATATTCTCCTCACTTTTCAGGGAGTTTCGCTCTTTCATTTTGAGAATATAGTGGAACACACATGATTTAGGATGTTTTTAGGAATTGCAGAAACAAAACAGACAACAAATTGGCAAAACAGATGTTAAATATTGACAGGGTCACTGAGAAAAAAGCCCAGAGCAGCTTGTGATACATCCAAAGTTCTGAAGTATGTGCTGTGTATAAAGCAGAGTGTATAAAGCGCGTGGAGGTGTGTTTACCTGGCCAGAGTGTCCGCTGGGCGCTGAGGCTCCGCTGCATCTCCTCCTCTCCTCTGTGCTCAGACTCCATGCATGCGGGCCTGAGCAGGCGCTGCTGAGTCATGTGGGAGTGGAGGTTCTGCTAAACAGCCCAGGTATGATGTCATTTTAATCCTGCTCCATGATGATGTTTCATTAGAGCTGACATTATCAATGATATTCACCTTAAGGGCTTTCATTTGAACAGAGTGTTATACAATCACTGACAATGAGCCAAAATCGTAATACGTTTATTCTCCACTGAAGATTATTTGTTAATATTATGATTCGACTGCTGTTTGTCTGTTCAAAGAGTTGCCACAGTTCTAAAGCAACTGTAGAACCCCCTGGTTCATTCAAATTAGATTTGAAATGTCATTTCAAACCAGCAATATGGCCTCTAGGAGAACAAACAGTTATATTTGAAATCATAATCCTGTGCAAAACTTGAATAATATAATGTTACAAGTTTTTTTTTAAATTATTTGATTGAAAGACAGTAAATCCACTTGTGTTTTTACATTTTCAAGCAAAATTCTCTTATTTCAGCTCCTCAAATGTGAGTATTTAAAGGTTTTCGAGAGTATAACAAATATATTTGAATCCTTTGTAATGTTGGTAGGACAAAACAAGCAAACCAAAATCCTTGTGAATGGTATTTTCTCACTATTCTTATTTTGTTATACTATTCTATTGTATAGTATTAATGTTTTATCCAGAAAAATGAAAACCCTTACACTTAATCTGAACAAATAAATGGAGTTGTTGGGGCCCTCTCATTATATTGGATTATCTTTGATTGGATTGGTGTCCCGTGTCTCTTTACCTGCCGTGAGACCTGCGTGCAGAGCTGCTGCTTTGTTCTTAAAGGAAACTGCATCAAAGAGTCCAACTGGAATAAAAGAAAAACAGTGAAGGGACTAGAAGCTAAAGTAAACACAATCATTATAATCAAACTGACATTTGAGACCATACAAGGCTTTCATTCTTAGTTGTTGCTGTGTTCACTGTGGCTCTATACGACACGCATACACAGTACCTTGGCGTGTTGTCTCTGATGAGGCTGTCTAATCTGCGGCTGGGTGGAGGCGTCCTGTGGGACCCCCCCCGTGTCCCCCCGGCCCTGCAGCAGCTGGCTGATCTGGTCCACCACCCCGAGATCATGGAGCAATGTCTTCCTCTGGA